CAATTCTCTTTCCAATGGTAGATACAACTTTTGAAGGAAATAATTGTCAATCAACAAGCATTTATTAATTGCTTACTATTCGCCAGGTATTGTGCTATGCTAATAAAGCTTATATAACTCACTAAATAGTGCTCTGATATGTGCTTGGGAGGCCGGGCTAATGAGATTTCAAATACTGAGAAATATTACCCAGACATACTTATTCCCTGGGAGAAGCCAGTTCAACATGTTTGATCAAAAGAAAAACGTACCTGAAATATTACTAGATCAACTTCTTTCACCTTCTTCTGCTCCTCAACCACATCACTGGGCAGAGATCTTTTCTTATAGGCCTCATATGTTTCTACTTCATAATTGAAGGATTTTGAGTTGCTTAGAGCACCTGTGGAGAAATTCACTAGGCCTAATTATTCTTATTCCCAGTAACTTAAAAGAAATCTTATTCTAATGATCCCTTTAAAATAAATCACAGATGCTCCCCAAAAGACTGGGAACTAATATTCTTCTTCTAGCAGATAGCTGTGATAGGTCACAAAATTGATAGTGCTACAGTTGGTCAAAGACCATTTATTTGGTCAAAGGCCAATCCATTTTTTTTTTTTGTTTTAGCTGATCTCAGCTATGTGACAGGAGGAAAGAATTCTGATTTGCTTACACCAGAGGTGTCAAACTTGGGACCTACCTGTTGGGCAAAACCCAACCCAAGTTAGATTAAAATGTTAATGTTAAAATTAAAATTGGAAAATGTTTAACAAAATAAATAAAAATACAACACAGATGATGTTAATTTGTGGTTTTCTGAGTCAATAGGTATCTCGCTACAAGGATCTGTTTCTATTTGAGTTTGATACTAGTGATTTACACTAAGGTTTGAATGACTGAAAGTTTCCTCAGTACAGATCCTGACCCCTCTTCTTGTGTCCCCAAAAGTTTATATTTTCAAAGAGAGGCTTGTGTAAATTTCAAATTAATTAAATTTTACTCATTGTGATGGAGTGAAATATTTCTGACAGCCTAGTGGAGATATTTTTAGGCAAGAAGGTATGAAACCAGCCCGTTTTTAGAAGAACTGAGTGTCTGTGTGGCCTGTTGTCTTCTCCCTTTCTCTCTCCTCTGTTTTTCCAAGCTAACTAGGAAAAACGTTCTTCAGATAGAGATCCTTTAGCCCCTCTGCTTTCTTCTAAGGCATCTTCTCTATCCTGTCCCTCTGTTCTTTGGTCTTCTTAAGATTAGACTCTGATCATCACTTAAAGAGCAGGTGCTGGATTTAAACCCAGTTTATCTGAATCAGAATTAATTCATTGTGCTTTCTACCATTCCAGCTCTAGTAAACCTTCTAGATAAGGATCGTTTCATTTTTGTCTTTGTATCTCCAGTGTCTAGCACAATACATGGTGCATAGTATGTGCCTGATAAATGCTTTTCGATTTGCTGAAATTTTTTAAAAAGAGAAAATTTGAATTGTGATTCCCCAAGGAGATCTCCCACCTATTGCCTAGGAAAGTAATCTCCCTCATTCCCCAACCTAAAAGAGGTGTTGCCTCGGGGGAACAAGGTAGGAATGTAGAAGCCAAGCTGTCAACACCCGAACCACTAACTGAACAGTTTACAGAGGCTCAGAGTCTAGAAGTTGCTGTTCATTTCATAGGATTATCTTAGAACTTTAAAAATTTTTTTAAATATACAGAAAGAAAATTGGTTGCCCATTGTTTCAGTTCTCACTCTGTAGTCATCTGAGACTAAAGTTGGTGGATCTCTTGAGAGAGAAACAAGCACCTTAAAAAAAGTAATAACTTTTGGCTTGAACCTACCACTCACCCACAATATTGTTCCTTGTGGCCCTTGGCTCAAAGTTCATGGCATAGAGATCAGACACGGCGACCCAGCAGCCCTGATTGCTCAGCTCAGACACCACTGCGTCCTTCAGGGATCCATTCATAGACTTGGGCTCCTGAGGACTCGTTTCCCTTGATCAGAGAGTGAAAAAAGAAAACAAATCAAAACAAACCAAAAAAAACCAACCTCCATAGAAGAACAGTTTCTCTTTTTATTACAATTCAATGAAGAAGGAGAAAGTATTGACATTTCTATAGACATTAGGCATGTGAAGCAGAAAGATAAAAATACTTCATGAATGACTGGTTGGGACAGTTTGATTTGTAATCAGTCTTCATACCGAAGAACTTCCTTCCTTCCATTCCCCTTTTCCCTCCCTCCATTCCTTCTTCCTCCCTCCCTTCCCCCTTCTCCCTATCCCTCTCCCTCCCCTTCCCCCTTCCCCCTTTCCTTCCTCCTTTCTCTCTTCCTCCCTCCCTCCCTTCTTCCTTCTCCCTTCTCTTCCTCCCTCTTGTCTTTCTTTCTTCCTTCCCTCCCTTCTTTCTTTCTTTCTTTTTTCCTTCCTTCCTTCCTTTCTTCCTCCTTTCCTTTCCACCATTTGTAACTTACTGTATACCTATCCTATCTCTTGTATTGGAATGTGAGTTCCTTAAGAACACAGACCACAGTTTTTGCCTTTCTTCTAATTCCCATCACTTAGCACAATGCCTGGCATACAATAAGTGCTTAATAAATACTTGTTGACTGTCTGATTTAATTGGTTTAGGGAACTCTCAACATGATAAGGAAACTCCCTCTACCAATGCAGATTACAATTTATAGTTTTAGAGAGTTGCCTGAGGAAATGAGAAGTTTAGCGACTTGTTTAAGGTCACATGGCTAGAATATGTTAAAGACAGGACACAAAACCAGTTTTCTTGACTCAGAGGCTGCTTCTCCCACTTTCCCATCCTGCCTCTTGCATTCTGTTCTGATGTTCCTTCAAATTTTAATCTATTTGTTGTAAAAGCTTGATATGACATGGTTTGCCTATTGGGTGGGTTTTTTTCTCTATGGTCCAACATTTGTGGCAACTGAGGTTAAGCTGTTCCATTCATGGTTTTGAATTTCCTGTTCAGAGTACAAAACCCAAGAGAACAAACATAAGGCAGCTGAAAAGGTAGAGTTGTAAGTCACTCAACTAAGCACAGAGGTTGAGACACATGAGTTACACTAATGATTAATATTTAACCTTAACTAAAAAAAAAAAAGCTGATATTTCTTACCTGCCATTTCCCAGAAGGGTGAAGCCTTTTTTCCTTTCAGAAAGTGTTATTTCACCTCTCTAGATGTTATATAGAAGAGATTTGCCAGTGACAGTGGAAGTTAAAGAGAACCTCAGCGACAGGTGGGGCAGAATGCTTAGCCTCCACCTTGATGTACACAGTTTTGGGAATACATTACTTTATGTATGGGAAAAGTCCCGTGCTCACAGAAGAGGCACCAATAGCAGTAGGGGGTGGGGAGACCTAGACCTTATGAAATGATACACTACCTGGCTAGTCTTCTGCTGCTGTTTGAAGGCAGATGGGGAGTCTGGGAGAAATTTCTCGAAAATCAGAAGAGAATCTGGTGGAGGTGGATTGCTTGAGCTTGAGTTTGAGCTGAACTGCAAAGCCAGAAGGTTTCCTCACTAAGTCTGGTATCAATGTGATGAGCTCCTCGGAGTGAGGGGCTACCAGGCTGCCTAAGGAGGGGTGAGCTGGCCCAGGTCAGAAAAACAGACCAGGTTAAAGCTTTGTGGCTGATAGTACTGTGATGGGTTTGGGGAGGAGAGGGAAACTTAGTCTTTAAAAGTTTTTTTAAAAAAAACTTTTTTTTTAAAAGAGAGTGGAATCCCATGATGGATGAGGTAGTTTTAAATGGTTATTTTAAATGAGTTCATTTCTCCAGACTGTACTCCAGAGTATGTGAAGAATTTAGAGATGTGACTGGGGAACAGTTGTCAGTAATTTGTGATATATTCTGTAAAATGATAGACTGGAGATGGAGCAAAGTCCTGATCTTCAGTAAGGAGAAATAATCATCTAATATATTGTCTACTCCCAAGACAGATCATTAAACCATGATGACAAAGTTCATAAGGAAAACACCATTTGGAATGCATAAATGCTGAGGAATGGAGGGGAAACAATCCTCAGGTCACTCCAGGCCCCAAATGAAAACAGAAAGTCTAAAAGAGAAAATGAAAGGGCAATTAAGCAAGATAATCATGATTGCGGTTTCATTTATGTCAGAGTTGATACTTTTCCAGTCTTGCTAGGGAAAGGGACCTTTTAATCTAAGGTTCCTTCCAAGTGCCACTTGGTAGTATACAAATGAGTGGTGAAACCAATACAGTTTGAGTATCTGATATTTTACATAACAGATTAATTACTAGACACACCCTCACTTTCTTTTATCTCCATGAATAATTTACCTTTAAACCTGGAGTCAGGAAGGGCCTCAGTTCAAATCCAAACTCAGCAACTTACTAGCTGTGTGATCCTGGACAAGTCACTTGACTTCTGTTTACGTTAGTTTCTTAATTTGTAAAATGGAGATAATCAGAGTACTTACTCCTAGGGTTGTTCTGAGAATAAAATGAGATAGTATTTGTAAGGCACTTTGTAAATCTGAAAGAACTGTGTAAATTCTATTTATTATTATTGTTATTTATTGTCACAACTGTAAGTAAAGGTGGAGTACATTACTCATGTAATTTATATTTCATTTTACTAGTACCTACTAGGACAGTTTTTTATAATTCATGAGTTTGGGAAGAAAACAGAAAGGAAAATAATAATTCCTTTTTGCTTATTGCTTTTGTGGTAAGTGTCCCCCTCTTTAGTAGTCTACTCAGCTACCATCCCTGAGGACCATGGAGAGAGCTTCCAGCTCTGTATGACTCATGGATGGGATGAGTCCCCATGCTTGGCTGCTGTTCTGGAACTTGATGGATTGTCTACTTAGGTCTTTTGTATGTTCCTGGCTACTCGGTGTTAAGTTCAGTTCTGAGTTAAGTTAAGTTCTGAGCTGTCAGGAGGGTTAGGTAGGAAAGTGGCCCCCATCTAGCAGCAAGCTTTGAGCACGTTTCCTGCTTATACCTTGGATGGAACCACCTCTCTCTTTTTTGTCTCCTCCAGCTAGGTGACTGTGCCACAATGTCAAAATGGATGTGTCCAGAAAATCCTGTGGATTTGAAAAAGTGAGGAAGTCCTGAGAGTCTGGCAAGACAGAAGCTTCACAGTCAACCAGAGTGACCTGTTATAGCTGAAGTCATGTAAGGAAAAAGGCAGGAGAGAGACAGCCGGCAAGATGATCTGACTTGACTGTTTGGGCAATGCCCAGTGGTGAGGTAAAGTAGGGAATTAGCAGTTAGAGTTGTGGCCCAACTGTTCTATGTTCTGGTAAAGCTTAAAATGTTACCCTCCCAAATTCAATTCAACTCAATAAACATTTATTAAGTGCCTACTACATACCATGCACTGTACTAAGAGCTGGGAATACAAAGAGAGAAAAGACAGTCCCTATTCTCATAAATTAAGATATAGGATCTGTTGAAGTCATTCTGTTAATGCAGACTGTGATTCATTTTTGTATTGCATTCCTCTTCCTATATAGAATAAAATAACTAGTTCTGTATGTGATTCATGTAGGCATTGGGTACATCTTTTATCCCACTCTGTCGGGAACATTCTGGTTTACAGTTAGGAATAGGATTGTCTCTGGAGTAGCTAGGGGTAGGGATTGATGAGCCAATATAAATGAAAATTGGGGAAATTACTTCCTCTATTGAAAAGTCAGGGTTCCCCAGCAATGATCATGGTACATAGCCACATGGGGACCTAGCCAATGAGGAGAGTATTTGAGTCCCTGAGAGTACCAGCATCAGGAACCTCTAGCTTCTCTGCTAGAGTTGCCTCACAAGTATCTGCTAAAGTTGGTTGCATGAGGATTATTGTTATTCCCATTTTACAGATGAGGAAAGTGAGGTTCAGAGAGGTAAGTGACTTGTTCTCAGTTGCATAGTTAGTAAGTAGCAGAAAAAGGACTCAAATTCAGCTCTTCTAACTCTTAGTCTACATTGCTCCTCTAGGATAGGGAAGAAAGTGAGAAGTGTGGAATGCTCTGTTATCTTTATGTAATTGCTGGCTAGATGAGATACTGATTTTTTTTTTAAATTTCCTAGAGGCAACCAGATGGCACAGTAGATATTGTGCTAGGCTTGAAGTCAGGAAGACCTAATTTCAAATATGGACTCAGACATTTACTGATTGTGTGACCTTGGCAAGTCATTTAACCTCTGATTGCCTCAGTTTCCTCAACTGTAAAATGGCGCTAATAATAGTACCTATTTTGCAGGGTAGTTGTGAGTCTTAAATGAGATCCTATTTGTAAAGCATTTAGCACAGTACCTGGCATGTAATTGTTGTTTGTCCTTCTTTCTCAAAGAAGACTATGATATCAAGAAGGTGATGCCATGGCTTGTAAGTGAATTGGATTTAAGTGAGGCTGGTGACTATACAGTCCTCCCTGTATAGTCACCAGCCTCACTTTCTACTCCTGAGCCATCTGGGTCCAGTGGCAAGATATAAAGCAGGATAACTGAGATGGCCCTGGATGCAGTGGGAGACCTTGGCCTTTTTAAGCTAAGGTTTTATAGTATGTGCTTATCTCTTTCTCTCCCCGCCACCCGAAGGCTGCCGAGGCATTGGGGGCGGGGGGGGGGTGTTAAGTGACTTGCCCAGGGTCACACAGCTAGTAAGTATCTGAGGGTACATTTGAACTCAGGTCCTCCTGACTCCAGAGCCGGTGCTCTATCCACTGCACCACCTAGTTGCCACCTTCCTTCCTTTCTTAATTTGTGATCAATCATACTGCAGAGAAACATTTTCACTGTTATAAATGTGAAAAGTCCTTGCAGCTAATCACAAAACTTAGTCAATATGAAATGTTTCACACTGGAGAGAAACCTTATCAATGTAATGAATATAGAAAGGCTTTCCATCTGTACAGACAACTTATTCAACATCAGAAAGATCATACTGGAGTGACCTTATGAATGTAGTAAATGGAAGAAGTCTTTCTCTTTAATCACAACTTATTCAGCGTCATAAAATTCATTCTGGGAAGAAACTTTAGATATATAATAAACATGGGAAAGCCTTCCAGTGGAGAATATAACTTATGGTACATTAGATAATTTATACTTGAGAAAAATTTTAGGAATGAAATACAGTTTGGGAATGCCTTTTTCTAGAAAACTGCACTCATGTACCGTAGTATAATTTATACTGGAGAAAAATCTTATTAATGTAGTGATTCTGTTATAACTTTATTTAAGAATAATGAACTTACTCAACTTCAGAGGATTCATATTGGAGAGAAACTTTATAAAGTCATGTGAAGATAATGTTCAGCAATAGAATTTCAGAGGACATACTTTCCTGAAAATTTTAGTATTTAAATCAAAAAGAAATTTTATAAATTAATCCAAATCCATATTTTCCATATGGTATGTTTCAAATATTTATATTTCTTAAGTCTCCAAGCAACATCTTTTCCTCCCAGTACCCAGGCTTACAGCTGATGATTTAGAGCAGAGATGTTAAACTTGAAACCCACTGTGTGGTTAAAACAGAATTGATTAAATGTTTAACAAAATAAATAAAAATACTATACAAAAAACAACAACTTGAGTTTGTGAAAATTTTAAAAATGGCTTTGGAAAGTTGCATCTAGCCTTTATATGGCATAAAGCCAGAAGTTGTTGGCAAACAAGCACTGAGTAGTTGGAGGAATATGTATGTATCTTTATAAAATTTAAAAGTCATTTCTCAGTGGATTACACAGCCTTTAAAATCACTTGCTCTACCATACTGTTTGTTACACTATAATAAGTATCTTAGATTACAAGGAAAGTTACCTTTTCTGAATATATTGTGTTTGAATTAAACAGATTCATCAATCTTTAATTTGCAGTCTGCCCAACTTTCATTAATGTTTAACTTCATTAAATAAAAGATTTGAAATTGAAAAAAATAAAGGGTTAGATGAGTCAGCACCCATTCAAAACTATAACTCACAAGCCTCTATTGATTTTTCTCTTTTACCAGACCAACCAGAGGATGCATTAGTTCAGAGAAAAAAGTACTTAAAACAACATTGCAAGATAAATAAAGAAAATCCCTCCATCCATGTGAGAGTACATTGTCCCCCCAATGCCCACATCATGTGCAGGAAAAAGGCATGTGTACAAGGAACAAACGTGGCCAGGGAACACGTGAGGAAGAAGGTATATGGACAGTAGATACAAAGTCAAGGTAATTGATACTCTTAGGGCTATGGCCTGTCTGTCTTCAACACAGCCGCACAACACAGTTGCGTTATTTGCTGTTCTTTAGCCTTCTTGGGTCCCCCACTGGTCTATTTCTTTTGCTTTACTGCTTAGAAGCTGGTCCTCCAGTCCTGCCCCCTTCTCCCTCTGAACTGTTCTCTGCTGGTTATTCCATTATGCTGCTTTCTGCTGCTGCCTGCTGGCAGTGCCCTGAGTCTCAGCTGCTGTGTAGACAAGGGTGTCTTCACTCATAGCCTCAGGAATAATTTCAGTTCTTTTGTGAGTTAGACCCTCCAACCGCACTTAGTCATCAAGCCCCAGCTTAAGTCTCTGTTTTGAACTCTTGCTTCTGCCTCAATTTCCACTCCCTGAAGTCAGTCTTTTGGACTTGGGGTGAATAAATGAGTACATTTCTTTTATCTCCCGTTGTTACCTGGGTGCTCATCTGAGTTCATGTAAATTATCCTTGGATTTTCCCTTAGTAAGACTTAGTGGCATGGAATAGATAATCTTTATTCTGTCTGACTGAGGGCACCAGAACTGTTGCTCTCCCTACTTAAATGTGATTACAGACTGATAGAATATACTATTAGGTTATTATATATGTATACACACACATATATACTATGCATGTAGTATACCTTACCTATTATACTATCCATAGCATATACACATTATATATTATACCATGTATAATATAGACTACACTATATTTTATATAGCATATTATATGTTAAATAGTATACTATATATCACACAATGTGTTATATAATATATGATAGTATTATACACTGTTATAATTAATACATGATGTGTCATATACTATATGTTATATAACAATTGTATATATTATCACAATTAATATAACAATAAAACTATGCTATATCTATATATCATATATACTATACTCTCTCTCTCATACATATATATATATTTTTCTCTATTATCAGACCAACCAGAGAATGCATTAGTACAGAGAAAAAAAGTATTTAAAACAGCATTGCAAGATAAATGAAGAAAAAAAGAATATATATATATATATATCATGTACCATATATAACTATGGGCAGCTAGGTAGCCCAGTAGATAAAGTACTGGTCCTGGAGTCAGGAAGACTCATCTTCCTAAGTTCAAATCTGGCCTCAGATATTTACTAGTTATGTGACCTTGTGCAAGTCGTTTAACTTCTGTTTGCCTCAGTTTCCTCATCTGTAAAACGAGCTGGAGAAGGAAATGGCCAATTTCAGTATCTTTGCCAAGAAAACCTCCGATGGGGTTATGGAAAGTCAAACATAACTGAAACGAATGGATGACAACAATAACAACATATATAACTATAATAATGAGTATTAATAACAAATACCGAGTAACCAATATGTGAACCAAACATTGAGGAAATTGTCAACAAAATCTCCTAATAGAAATTATTTATATCTTAATCAAATAGGGAAAAATATTCATAGCATACATTTTGACAATATAAAATTAAACTAGTGGTTTATATACTTGGCAGTATTGTTTTCTTGCTAACATTTCTATGATAAATTTTAATTTGACATATCATACAAAACCCCACTGTCTTCATAATTATATTTTCTACAATGTCTCATCCCCCTAAAACAATGAACAAAATGGCAAAAAACAATGACATGCAATCCTCTGCTTTGATAATTTATTGTTTATTGAGAGAAAGGTCAGATGTGTTCGTTAGTACTGATGATCATGTTATCAGTTTTTGTATTGCTATCAGCAAATAAAGGGATGCTTATTATTAAAAAAAAAATAAGGTTAGTACCAAAGTTGTCAAGTAAAGGTAATTTGCCCAACTACCAAATAGCTCTGGGGTTTGGGATTCCCCAGTTTCAAGCTGAATGGGAGAAGAAGAGATGCAGAGGCAAGCTAAGCCCAGGGGACAAGACCATAGTCTGTTACCTGCCTGTCTTACTTTACTCCTAGAACTTTCATGTACAGATTAAAGCTAGTTCAAAATTCAAAAGAACTTTGGGGCATTTTCTTCTATTCAATAAATTTAGAAAGGTGGGAAAGAGGGAAAAACATTTATATAGCACTTACTATGTGCCAGGCACTATGCTAAATGCTTTTAAAAAATACTCTATCATTTCTATCATTCTATCATTACATATCATATCGACCCTATAAGGAAGATGCTATTATTGTAATACCCATTTTGTAGTTGAGGAAACTGAAGTTAAGTGACTCATCCAGGGTCGTGTAGCAAGTAAGTGTCAGGCCAGATACGAACTCAAGTCTTTTTTATTCTAAGCTCAGCACTCTATCTATGGCACCACCAGCTGCCTCTAGGTAGACTGGAATCAGATTGTGAAAGGCTTTGATTACCAAATAGAGGATTTTGTATTTTATCCTTGAGTTAGCAATTGAAAAGGGGAGTGAAATGGTTAGACCTGTGATTCAGGAATATCATTTTGGCAAATGTAGAGGATGGATGGGTAAAGAGAAGAGATGAAGCCAGGAGACCACTTAAGATGCTACTGGACCCGGACTAGGATGGTGGTTATGAGTGGAAAGAAGGGGATGGTTAGCGAGAGGTCCAATTGAGTTGGTGAGAGGTGAGAGAGCTCTAGCCTTCATTAGTTCCCTTTGTTTCCCTTTCAGCACTCTCCATTTGAGAATCTTCTTCAGGAACAGTGTTGAGTTAGCTTCCAACTTCTAGAGAGAAGACGGAGGAAGCCAACCCCACTTCAGGTTACTGAAGGAAAGGACTCTGGGAAGAAATAAGAGGAGCCAGCAGTCTCCAGCAAGTTATTATTCCCTGCTAGCTAGACTGGAGATTTTGGGGAAATTCCCCCTTAGAGAAACCAAGGGGTGGAGCCAAGATGGCAGAGGGAATTGAACATTTCTGCTGAGCTCTCCCAGCCCAAGCTTAACAACTTTAAAAAAAAAAATGCCTCAAATCAAATTCTGAGTGGAATAACGAAACAAAAAAGTCTCAATATCTCATTTTTCCAGCTCAGGATGGCTTAGGAGGACAGATAGAGAGGTCTGTCTGTGGGCACTGGGTTGGGGGCTGGCTTGGAACACGTGTGGAAAAAGCAGCACTGGCTGTGGGGCCTGGAGGAGGACACAGCACCCACTCTGGTGGCAACAGCCGTGGCAGTAACAGCACCAAGAGTACTCAGTACCTAAAGATGGTAAGAAGACTAAGCAGGTGTGCAGATAAGAAAGATGTTACAGAAGACACCTGTGGCAGTACTGAGCACAGGATCGAGCACATCTAGCAGTTTCGTCATTCATTACCTAGTTCCCAATTGCAGTTCCAATGTGGGGAGGAGAGGTTATAGTCTGCAGTCATGAGGGAGCAGAGGCCCTAACTGGGTAAGGACCAAAATGTAGGCAAGGAGGATAGTGACCAGAATTGTCCTAGGATCACCCCATTTCATAAGCACTGAAAATCTATAGGACCCCAGATCTAGCCACATAAACTTAGGTTAGCCATCCCCTTCACCTCGCCTCGCAGAGATCAGCAAAGCCCAACTCTAACATAAAGTCCAAAGTCCAGAAATAGGCTGGAAAAATGAGATGGAAACCACAACAGCAACAACAACAACGAAAACAACAACACCTGATCATAAAAATCTTTTATGGAGGCAGGGAAGCTCAAGACAAACTCAAAAGAAGACAATGACTTGAAAACATCTATAAGCAAAGCCTCAAAGGAAAAAAAAAGCATATTGTATGCAAACTCAACAAGAATTCCTAGAAAAACTAAAGAAAGAGATTTTTAAAAAGACCAAAGAATGATTTAGAATCAAATAAGAACAGTAGAGGAAAAATTGGGGAAAGAAATGAGAGCAATGCAAGAAAATTATGAAAAGAGAATTAACAGTTTAGTAAAAGAGGTGCAAAACCTCATTGAAGAAAATAATTTTTTAAATTAGAATTGGCCAAGTAGATGCTAATGACTCCATGAGACATCAAGAAATAATAAGAACAAAGTCAAAATAGAAAAAAAATAGAAAGAATGAAAAATAGAAGAAAATGTAGAATATCTCATTGGGAAAAAAAAAATAACTGACCTGGAAAATAGATTGAGGAGAGATAATTTAAGAGTTATTGGAATACCTGAAAGCCATGATCAAAAAAAGAGGATAAACATCATATTTCAAGAAATTATAAAGGAAAACTGCCCAGATATCATAGAACTAGAGGGTAAAGTAGAAAAGGAAAGAATTCAATTGATCACCTTCTGAAATAGATCCCAAAATGAAAACTCCCAGGAATGTTATAGTCAAATTCTAGAGCTCCCAACTCAAGGAGAAAATACTTCAAATAGCCAGAAAGAAATAATTCAAATATTGTGGAGCCACAGTGAAGATCACACAAGATTTAGCATCTCCATTATAAAGGGGTGGAGGGCTTGGAAAATTATATTCTGGAAGGCAAAGGAGCTGGGAATACAATAAAAATAACCTTCCCAGCAAAACTGAGTATAATCTTTCAGGGAATGAAATGGATATTTCATGAAATAGAGGACTTTCAAACATTCCTGATGAAAAAAACAAAGCTGAATAGAAAATTTGACATTCAAACATAAGACTCAAGAGAAACATAAAAAGCTCACTACCCTCTGTTGCTCGGTGCTCAGGACTGCCACAATTCCTGCTGTCAAGAAGGAAGATTATCTGATCAGTTCATTCATGTTAAATGGTTGGAACCCAAGAGTATGCCAAAGTAAATTCAAACCAGCTTCTGAGTGAGAGCAGATTAGTAAATTTTCCATGTGAGCATTTATACCTTGAATCAACGGATTAGCAAATTGTACAAATCAGGGCTTGCTCTGTTGTTTTGATGGTTGCCTAGACTTAAGAAAGTGATGGAGATGATATTAATAATGTAGACTAAATTTACAAGTGTGTCATATACATTCTCCCCCACCCCCAGAGAGCTGGTTGTTAAACATTTACCAGCACTCCCCTGTCAGAACCTATCATGTACTTCCCCTTCCATGAGAGTACACATTTAAATCAAGTCTACAAGGAATTAATAAAAGGAATGACTTACTGGGGAGGGGGGGATTTTAGTCAGAGAGGTTTCCAGGAAGGTCAGAGAGGTTCCAGGAAACCTTTTAAATGACATCATAGTGAAGACTACTTTTGCATTAGTTCAATGTTCTATTACTTTAACCACTCCACATGGTAACTGGACACATTTTGAAATAAAGTGGTCACTGATTTTTTTTTAAGAAGGGGATGGTTACAAGAGATATTGTCAAGGTAGAAATGATAAGATTTAGTAACTGATTGTATATGAGGGGAAGGGAGAATCAAGGATGACACCTACATTACAAACCTGGGTGACTAGAAGGATTTTGGTGTCCTTAACAGAATAGTGAAATTAGGAAGAAGGTTGAGTTTCTTGTGAAAGATAATGAGTTCTATTTTGAACATGTTAACTTTTGAGGTGTCTATTGCACATCCAGTTGAGAGAAGCAAATGGGAAGATGAGAGGGATAAAAAGAGCAGCCAGTTGCTTTGATGAAAAACATAGATTAAAAAAAAAGTGTAGTGAAAAGATACACCAGAGGGAGCCAAAGAATTATGGAAGAGATAGGTTCTTTAGTATGAAGGCTAATAGCACCTTAGCACCATCCATTCTAGGGGCAGTGGAGGGTAATGTTGGGGGAAGTCAGGGCATGGAGTAATTCGAGTACATTTTATGCATTATTGCCCTTAGTAATCAAATCATCATATGAATCATTGGTGATTCTGACATTCTGGGCTATTTTTGTTGTGCCTTTTTTTTAATCTCTGGTGCTTATTAAACATAGCTTTGTTTGATATGACAATTGCTTTTGAGACTGTTAATGCAACCTAATTATACTAGCCTCTCCATGCCTTTCCATAAAGTTAGATAGCAGCAGTTCTGTGATCTAGACTTATTATCCCATGTACCTAATGCCCTTTATGTTGCCTCAGTCAAACTGAGACCTGCTAAAGACCTTAGCTTTGAAAGGCCAATTTCTTCCTTCTTTCCTTCCTTCCACCCCATCTGGAGCCTTCTCCAGTCATCCTAATTTGTATCTGGACACCGAACCCAGATGGTGGTGACTTTGCACAGCCCTCCCTCACTTAAATCCGATTCATTTACTTGCATGTCATGGCATCACCTCCATGATATCAACAACACTTTCTTTCTTTCTTTCTTTCTTTCTTTCTTTCTTTCTTTCTTTCTT